TATATGGGTTCCAAGTCCCGAGGTGTGGGGGAACTTCAACCCACAACCTTCTGACTTGGAGGGCGAGAGTGTGATAGACTGAGCAGGACTACGACACTCTGAACCGGGCCAGGCTGACAAACCCTCCACCTGTCTCTCCAGATCGCTCGCCTGAAACACGAGCTCCAGCAGAGCCAGGCGGGGAGAGAGAGCGCTGTGCTGGACAAGGAGCTGCTGGAGCAGCGATTGCAGAAGGTGGAACAGGTGTGGACAGCAAGAGACGCACACAGGAGGGCGGGTCCCGGCAGGTCAAAGTCCTGGAGGTCAGTATCCTAACAGGCGTGTGATCATGGTGGTCCTGAGGACCGCATAATAATAATCCTTATGTTTGATACATTGCCTCCTGACATCTTCGAGATGTCTCAAAGCGCTATAAAGTGCAGTGACTGTGTTTTGTGGGCGAAATGCACTCAGCAATAATTTATCCCGTTGTCAGGCGGTGCCTGAGCCCCCGGTAACTGTCTCCTGATTGGCCAGTCCTGTTGTCAGTTGGTACCTGAGCCCCCGGTAACTGTCTCCTCATTGGCCAGTTCTGTTGTCAGTTGATGCTTGAGCCCCCATTAACTGTCTCCTGATTTGCCAGTCTGTTGTCAGTTGGTACCTGAGCCCTCGGTAACTGTCTCCGCATTGGCCAGTTCTGTTGTCAGGCGGTGCCTGAGCCCCAGTAACTGTCTCCTGATTGGCCAGTCCTGTTGTCAGTTGGTACCTGAGCCCCCAGTAACCGTCTCCTCATCGGCCAGTTCTGTTGTCAGGTGGTGCCTGAGCCCCTGGTAACTGTCTTCTCATTGGCCAGTTCTGTTGTCAGGCGGTGCCTGAGGGCCCAGTAACTGTCTCCTCATTGGCCAGTTCTGTTGTCAGGAGGTGCCTGAGCCCTTGGTAACTGTCTCCTTATTGACCAGTTCTGTTGTCAGGCGGGCTTGAGCCCCCTCCCCTCCCACGGTAACTGTCTCCAGATTGGTCAGTCCTGTTGTCAGTTGGTGCCTGAGCCCCTATTAACTGCCTCCTGATTGGCCAGTCCTGATATCAGTTGGTGCCTGAGCCGCTGCCTCATGTCAGTCCACTGATTGGCCAGACCTGTTGCCGGGCAGATTCTTATTCTCTGTCTCCTGATTGGCCAGTCCTGTTGTCAGACACAGCCTGAGCCCCCCTGACTGTCTCCTGATTGGCCAGTCCTGTTGTCTGTTGTTTACATAGCGCCCCTTACGCAGTGAAGCGTCCCAGAGCGCTTGACGGTGGTGGAGCACGATGCCGAGCCGGGAGGAGGGGGACGTGACCCAGGCCCGATCAAAGAGGAAAGTCTTCAGGCGCGCTGTGAGGATGGGGAAGGAGGGGGCAAGACGGAGTGATAGGGGGAGCGTGTAACAGACTTTCGGGGCGTGATGGTAATGTTCTGTCACATGGGTGTCGGTGCGTGTTGCTGCCACGATAGGGCGATGAAAGTACATTACCAGTTTTCAAACCAGAAACAGAAGTAGGTTATTCAGCCGCTCGAGCCTGTTCCGCCATTTTGTAAGCCCATAGCTGATCTCTACCTCAAGTCCCTGTTCCGCCATTTTGTAAGCTCATAGCTGATCTATACCTCAAGTCCCTGTTCCGCCATTTTGTAAGCTCATAGCTGATCTGTACCTCAAGTCCCTGTTCCGCTATTTTGTAAGCTCATAGCTGATCTATACCTCAAGTCCCTGTTCCGCCATTTTGTAAGCTCGTAGCTGATATATACCTCAAGTCCAGCTAACCGCCCTGTCCCCATATCCCTTGATACCCTGACCTAACAAATATCTCTCTCTGGCCGTTCAGCCTGTGGAGCCCTCCACCAGTGTATTAGATGACAGATATTTGAGCACAAACCCCCCATCTTTCCACATATCCCTGAATCTCCTGACTTCCAAGTCTGCATTTTTTCAAACCCATTTAGATATATTCACACACACACACACACGAGGGAGAAGGGAATAGAAGGTTGTGGGATGGAGTTCTCATTTCGAACAGCGCCATCCGCATAATAATAATAATAATCCTTACATTTGATACAGTGTCTCCTGACATCTTCGAGACGTCTCAAAGCGCTGTAAAGTGCAGTGACTGGGTTTTGTGAGCGAAATGCACTCAGCAATATCTTATCCTGATTGGCCAGACCTGTTGTCAGGCGGTGCCTGAGCCCCCGGTTACTGTCCCTGATTGGCCAATGCTGTTGTCAGTTGTTACCTAAGCCCCCACTAACTGTCTCCTGATTGGCCAATCCTGTTGTCAGTTCATGTCTGAGCCTCCCACCCTGCACCAGCACCTGTTTCCTGATTGGCCAGTCCTGATATCAGTTGGTGCCTGAGCCCCTCTCTCCCCGCCCCCCACCAACCCCCCACCCCCGTGCCAGTCCCCTGATGGGCCAGTCCTGTTGCCGGGCAGATTCTGAGTCTCTGTCTCCTGATTGGTCAGTCCTGTTGCCTGTTGTTTACGCAGCCCCCCCTCACCCATGATAGTCCAAGAGCGCTTGACGGTGGTGGAGCACGATGCCGAGCCGGGGGGAGGGGGAGGTGACCTTGTCACGATCAAAGAGGAAGGTTTGCAGGTGCGCTCTGAAGATGGGGAAAGTGGGGGCAAGGCGGAGTGATAGGGGGAGCGTGAAACAGAGTTTCAGGGCGTGGTTGTAATGTTCTGTCACATGGGTGTCGGTGCGTGTTGCTGCCACGAGAGGGCGATGAAAGTACATTACCAGTTTTCAAACCAGAAACAGAGAAACAGAAGTCGGTTATTCAGCCGCTCGAGCCTGTTCCGCCATTTTGTAAGCTCATAGCTGATCTCTACCTCACGTCCCTGTTCCGCCATTTTGTAAGCTCATAGCTGATCTATACCTCAAGTCCCTGATCCGCCATTTTGTAAGCTCATAGCTGATCTATACCTCAAGTCCCTGTTCCGCCATTTTGTAAGCTCAAAGCTGATCTGTACCTCAAGACCCGCCCTGTCCCCATATCCCTTAATACCCTAACCTAACAAAAATCTATCTACGGCCGTTCAGCCAGTGGAGCCCTCCACCAGTGTATTAGATGATAGATATTTGAGTCCAATCCCCCCATCTTTCCCCATATCCCTGAATCTCCTGATTTCCAAGTCTGTATCTTTTCAATCCCATTTATACACACACACACCACACACACAAACACACACACACGAGGGAGAAGGGAATAGAAGGTTGTGAGATGGAGTTCTCGTTTCGAACAGCGCCATCCGCATAATAATAATAATAATCCTTACATTTGATACAGTGTCTCCTGATATCTTCGAGATGTCTCAAAGCGCTGTAAAGTGCAGTGACTGGGTTTTGTGGGCGAAATGCACTCAGCAATATCTTATCCTGATTGGCCAGACCTGTTGTCAGGCGGTGCCTGAGCCCCCGGTAACTGTCCCTGATTGGCCAATGCTGTTGTCAGTTGTTACCTAAGCCCCCACTAACTGTCTCCTGATTGGCCAATCCTGTTGTCAGTTCATGCCTGAGCCTCCCACCCTGCACCAGTACCTGTTTCCTGATTGGCCAGTCCTGATATCAGTTGGTGCCTGAGCCCCTCTCTCCCCGCCCCCCACCAACCCCCCACCCCTGTGCCAGTCCCCTGATGGGCCAGTCCTGTTGCCGGGCAGATTCTGAGTCTCTGTCTCCTGATTGGTCAGTCCTGTTGCCTGTTGTTTACGCAGCCCCCCCTCACCCATGATAGAGTCCAAGAGCGCTTGACGGTGGTGGAGCACGATGCCGAGCCGGGGGGAGGGGGAGGTGACCTAGTCACGATCAAAGAGGAAGGTTTGCAGGTGCGCTCTGAAGATGGGGAAAGAGGGGCCAAGGCGGAGTGATAGGGGGAGCGTGAAACAGAGTTTCAGGGCGTGGTTGTAATGTTCTGTCACATGTGTGGTTGGTGCTTGTTGCTGCCACGAGAGGGCGATGAAAGTACATTACCAGTTTTCAAACCAGAAACAGAGAAACAGAAGTAGGTTATTCAGCCGCTCGAGCCTGTTCCGCCATTTTGTAAGCTCATAGCTGATCTCAACCTCACGTCCCTGTTCCGCCATTTTGTAAGCTCATAGCTGATCTATACCTCAAGTCCCTGATCCGCCATTTTGTAAGCTCATAGCTGATCTGTACCTCAAGTCCCTGTTCCGCCATTTTGTAAGCTCATAGCTGATCTATACCTCAAGTCCCTGTTCCGCCATTTTGTAAGCTCATAGCTGATCTGTACCTCAAGACCCGCCCTGTCCCCATATCCCTTAATACCCTAACCTAACAAAAATCTATCTACGGCCGTTCAGCCTGTGGAGCCCTCCACCAGTGTATTAGATGATAGATATTTGAGTCCAATCCCCCCATCTTTCCCCATATCCCTGAATCTCCTGATTTCCAAGTCTGTATCTTTTCAATCCCATTTATACACACACACACCACACACACAAACACACACACACGAGGGAGAAGGGAATAGAAGGTTGTGGGATGGAGTTCTCGTTTCGAACAGCGCCATCCGCATAATAATAATAATAATCCTTACATTTGATACAGTGTCTCCTGATATCTTCGAGATGTCTCAAAGCGCTGTAAAGTGCAGTGACTGGGTTTTGTGGGCGAAATGCACTCAGCAATATCTTATCCTGATTGGCCAGTCCTGTTGTCAGGCGGTGCCTGAGTCCCCACTAACTGTCTCCTGATTGGCCAATCCTGTTGTCAGTTCATGCCTGAGCCTCCCACCCTGCACCAGCACCTGTTTCCTGATTGGCCAGTCCTGATATCAGTTGGTGCCTGAGCCCCTCTCTCCCCGCCCCCCACCAACCCCCCACCCCTGTGCCAGTCCCCTGATGGGCCAGTCCTGTTGCCGGGCAGATTCTGAGTCTCTGTCTCCTTATTGGTCAGTCCTGTTGCCTGTTGTTTACGCAGCCCCCCCTCACCCATGATAGAGTCCAAGAGCGCTTGACGGTGGTGGAGCACGATGCCGAGCCGGGGGGAGGGGGAGGTGACCGAGTCACGATCAAAGAGGAAGGTTTGCAGGTGCGCTCTGAAGATGGGGAAAGTGGGGGCAAGGCGGAGTGATAGGGGGAGCGTGAAACAGAGTTTCAGGGTGTGGTTGTAATGTTCTGTCACATGGGTGTCGGTGCGTGTTGCTGCCACGAGAGGGCGATGAAAGTACATTACCAGTTTTCAAACCAGAAACAGAGAAACAGAAGTAGGTTATTCAGCCGCTCGAGCCTGTTCCGCCATTTTGTAAGCTCACAGCTGATCTCTACCTCACGTCCCTGTTCCGCCATTTTGTAAGCTCATAGCTGATCTATACCTCAAGTCCCTGATCCGCCATTTCGTAAGCTCATAGCTGATCTGTACCTCAAGTCCCTGTTCCGCCATTTTGTAAGCTCATAGCTGATCTGTACCTCAAGTCCCTGTTCCGCCATTTTGTAAGCTCATAGCTGATCTGTACCTCAAGACCCGCCCTGTCCCCATATCCCTTAATACCCTGACCTAACAAAAATCTATCTACGGCCGTTCAGCCTGTGGAGCCCTCCACCAGTGTATTAGATGATAGATATTTGAGTCCAATCCCCCCATCTTTCCCCATATCCCTGAATCTCCTGATTTCCAAGTCTGTATCTTTTCAATCCCATTTAGATATACACACACACACACACACACACACACACACACACACACACACACACACACACACACACACACACACACACACACACGAGGGAGAAGGGAATAGAAGATTGTGGGATGGAGTTCTCGTTTCGAACAGCGCCATCCGCATAATAATAATCCTTACATTTGATACAGTGTCTCCTGATATCTTCGAGATGTCTCAAAGCGCTGTAAAGTGCAGTGACTGGGTTTTGTGGGCGAAATGCACTCATCAATATCTTATCCTGATTGGCCAGACCTGTTGTCAGGCGGTGCCTGAACCCTCGGTAACTGTCTCCTGATTGGCCAGTCCTGTTGTCAGTTCATGCCTGAGCCACGCCCCCCCACCAACACTACTAACTGTTTCCTGATTGGCCAGTGCTGATATCAGTTGGTGCTTGAGCCCCTCCCCCCGTGCCAGTCCCCTGATTGGCCAGTCCTGTTGCCAGGCAGACTGAGTCTCTGTCTCCTGATTGGCCAGTCCTGTTGTCTGTTGTTTACACAGCGCCCCTTACGCAGGGTAACGTCCCAGAGCGCTTGACGGTGGTAGAGCACGATCCCGAGCCGGGGGGAGGGGGAGGTGACCTCGTCACGATCAAAGAGGAAGGTCTTCAGGCGCGCTCTGAAGATGGGGAAGGAGGGGGCAAGGCGGAGTGATAGGGGGAGCGTGTAACAGACTTTCGGGGCGTGGTGCTAATGTTCTGTCACATGGGTGTCGGTGCGTGTTGCTGCCACGAGAGGGCGATGAAAGTACATTACCAGATTTCAAACCAGAAACAGAAGTAGGTTATTCAGCCGCTCGAGCCTGTTCCGCCATTTTGTAAGCTCATAGCTGATCTGTACCTCAAGTCTCTGTTCCGCCATTTTGTAAGCTCATAGCTGATCTATACCTCAAGTCCCTGTTCCGCCATTTTGTAAGCTCATAGCTGATCTATACCTCAAGTCCCTGTTCCGCCATTTTGTAAGCTCATACCTGATCTTCATCTCAAGTCCCTGTTCCGCCATTTTGTAAGCTCATAGCTGATCTATACCTCAAGTCCTTGTTCCGCCATTTTGTAAGCTTGTGGCTTAATTCCAGCTACCCGCCCTGTCCCCATATCCCTTAATACCCTGACCTAACAAAAATCTATCAACGGCCGTTCAGCCTGTGGAGCCCTCCACCAGTGTATTAGATGATAGATATTTGAGTCCAATCCCCCCTTCTTTCCCCATATCCCTGAATCTCCTGATTTCCAAGCCTGTATCTTTTCAATCCCATTTAGATATACACACACACACCACACACACAAACACACACACACACACCGCACACACACACACACACACACACACGAGGGAGAAGGGAATAGAAGGTTGTGGGATGGAGTTATCGTTTCGAACAGCGCCATCCGCATAATAATAATAATCCTTACATTTGATACAGTGTCTCCTGATATCTTCGAGATGTCTCAAAGCGCTGTAAAGTGCAGTGACTGGGTTTTGTGGGCGAAATGCACTCATCAATATCTTATCCTGATTGGCCAGTCCTGTTGTCAGGCGGTGCCTGAGCCCCCGGTAACTGTCCCTGATTGGCCAGTCCTGTTGTCTGTTGTTTACACAGCGCCCCTTACGCAGGGTAACGTCCCAGAGCGCTTGACGGTGGTGGAGCACGATCCCGAGCCGGGGGGAGGGGGAGGTGACCCAGGCCCGATCAAAGAGGAAGGTCTTCAGGCGCGCTCTGAAGATGGGGAAGGAGGGGGCAAGGCGGAGTGATAAGGGGAGCGTGTAACAGACTTTCGGGGCGTGGTGCTAATGTTCTGTCACATGGGTGTCGGTGCGTGTTGCTGCCACGAGAGGGCGATGAAAGTACATTACCAGTTTTCAAACCAGAAACAAAAGTACGTTATTCAGCCGCTCGAGCCTGTTCCGCCATTTTGTAAGCTCATAGCTGATCTATACCTCAAGTCCCTGTTCCGCCATTTTGTAAGCTCATAGCTGATCTATACCTCAAGTCCCTGTTCCGCCATTTTGTAAGCTCATAGCTGATCTATATCTCAAGTCCCTGTTCCGCCATTTTGTAAGCTCATTGCTGATCTATACCTCAAGTCCCTGTTCCGCCATTTTGTAAGCTCGTGGCTGATCTATGCCTCAAGTCCAGCTAACCGCCCTTGTCCCCATATCCCTTAATACCCTAACCTAACAAATATCTATCTATGGCCGTTCAGCCTGTGGAGCCCTCCACCAGTGTATTAGATGACAGATATTTGAGTCCAATCACCTCATCTTTATTATAATATTTATTAATCCTTCAAAAAAAATAAAATTGGTCACTTCAATCCACGACTGTTTGTGGGTCACTGCTGTGCGCAATTGGCTGCCGCTTTTCACCCGCAAATATACAGTCAATTCACTTTACGGCATATTCTGTGAAGCGCTTTGAGACGTCTAGAAGATATGAAAAGCGCTGTATCAAATGCAGGGATTATTATTGTTATGATATCTTTCCCCATATTCCTGAATCTCCTGATTTCCAAGTCTGCATCCTTTCAAACCCATTTAGATACACACACACACACACACGAGGGAGAAGGGAATAGAAGGTTTTGGGATGGAGTTCTCTTTTCGAACAGCACCGCGGGATATCTTTGACGTCTCTGTGGACAGGGCACAGAGGGGGAGTGAGTGAGGTTTAATGTCTCATGCGAAGGACAGCTCCTCCGACATTGCAGCGCTCCCCCAGCTATATGGGTTCCAAGTCCCGAGGTGTGGGGGAACTTCAACCCACAACCTGCTGACTTGGAGGGCGAGAGTGTGATAGACTGAGCAGGACTACGACACTCTGAACCGGGCCAGGCTGACAAACCCTCCGCCTGTCTCTCCAGATCGCTCGCCTGAAACACGAGCTCCAGCAGAGCCAGGAGGGGAGAGAGAGCGCTGCGCTGGACAAGGAGCTGCTGGAGCAGCGATTGCAAAAGGTGGAACAGGATGTGGACAGCAAGAGACGCACACAGGAGGGCGCGTCCCGGCAGGTCAAAGTCCTGGAGGTCAGTGTCCCTAACAGGCGTGTGATCATGGTGGTCCTGAGGACCGCATAATAATAATCCGTACGTTTTATACAGTGCCTCCTGACATCTTTGAGATGTCTCAAAGCGCTGTGAAGTGCAGTGACTGTGTTTTGTGGGCGAAATGCACTCAGCAATAATTTATCCCGTTGTCAGTTGGTACCTGAGCCCCCGGTAGCTGTCTCCGCATTGGCCAGTTCTGTTGTCAGGCGGTGCCTGAGCCCCCGGTAACTGTCTTCTCATCGGCCAGTTCTGTTGTCAGGTGGTGCCTGAGCCCCCGGTAACTGTCTTCTCATTGGCCAGTTCTGTTGTCAGGCGGTGCCTGAGCCCCCGGTAACTGTCTCCTCATTGGCCAGTCCTGTTGTCATGCAGTTCCTGAGACCCCGGTAACTGTCTCCTGATTGGCTAGTTCTGTTGTTATACACAGCCTGAGCCACCGGTGACTGTCTCCTGATTCGCCAGTCCTGTTGTCTGTTGTTTACACAGGGTAGCTTCCCAGAGCGCTTGACGGTGGTGGAGCACGATCCCGAACCGGGGGGAGGGGGAGGTGACCTCGTCACGATCAAAGAGGAAGGTCTTCAGGCGCGCTCTGAAGATGGGGAAGGAGGGGGCAAGGCGGAGTGATAGGGGGAGCGTGTAACAGACTTTCGGGGCGTGGTGCTAATGTTCTGTCACATGGGTGTCGGTGCGTGTTGCTGCCACGAGAGGGCGATGAAAGTACATTACCAGTTTTCAAACCAGAAACAGAAGTAGGTTATTCAGCCGCTCGAGCCTGTTCCGCCATTTTGTAAGCTCATAGCTGATCTATACCTCAAGTCCCTGTTCCGCCATTTTGTAAGCTCATAGCTGATCTGTACCTCAAGTCCCCTGTTCCGCCATTTTGTAAGCTCGTGGCTGATCTGTACCTCAAGTCCAGCTAACCACCCTGTCCCCATATCCCTCCACCAGTGTATTAGATGACAGATATTTGAGTCCAATCACCCCATCTTTATTAATTATAATATTTATTAATCCTTCAAAAAAATAAAATTGGTCACTTCAATCCACGACTGTTTGTGGGTCACTGCTGTGCGCAATTGGCTACCGCTTTTCACCCGCAAATATACAGTCAATTCACTTGACGGCATATTCTGTGAAGCGCTTTGAGACGTCTAGAAGATATGAAAAGCGCTGTATCAAATGCAGGGATTATTATTATTATGATATCTTTCCCCATATTCCTGAATCTCCTGATTTCCAAGTCTGTATCTTTTCAATCCCATTTAGATATACACACACACACCACACACACACACACACACACACACACACACACACACACACACACACGAAGGAGAAGGGAACAGAAGGTTGTGGGATGGAGTTATCGTTTCGAACAGCGCCATCCGCATAATAATAATAATCCTTACATTTGATACAGTGTCTCCTGATATCTTCGAGATGTCTCAAAGCGCTGCAAAGTGCAGTGACTGGGTTTTGTGGGCGAAATACACTCAGCAATATCTTATCCTGATTGGCCAGTCCTGTTGTCAGGCGGTGCCTGAACCCTTGGTAATTGTCTCCTGATTGGCCAGTCCTGTTGTCAGTTCATGCCTGAGCCACGCCCCCCCACCAACACTGCTAACTGTCTCCTGATTGGCCAGTGCTGATATTAGTTGGTGCTTGAGCCCCTCCCCCCGTGCCAGTCCCCTGATTGGCCAGTCCTGTTGCCAGGCAGATTCTGAGTCTCTGTCTCCTGATTGGCCAGTCCTGTTGTCTGTTGTTTACACAGCGCCCCTTACGCAGGGTAACGTCCCAGAGCGCTTGACGGTGGTGGAGCACGATGCCGAGCCGGGGGGTGGGGGAAGTGACCCAGGCCCGATCAAAGAGGAAGGTCTTCAGATGCACTTCGAAGATGAGGAAGGAGGGGGCAAGATGGAGTGATAGACTTTCGGGGCGTGGTGCTAATGTTCTGTCACATGGGTGTCGGTGCGTGTTGCTGCCACTAGAGGGCGATGAATGTACATTACCAGTTTACAAACCAGAAACACAGAAACAGAAGTAGGTTATTCAGCCGCTCGAGCCTGTTCCGCCATTTTGAAGCTCATAGCTGATCTGTACCTCAAGTCCCTGTTCCGCCATTTTGTAAGCTCATAGCTGATCTGTACCTCAAGTCCCTGTTCCCCCATTTTGTAAGCTCATAGCTGATCTATACCTCAAGTCCCTGTTCCGCCATTTTGTCAGCTCATAGTTGATCTGTACCTCAAGTCCCTGTTCCGCCATTTTGTAAGCTCATAGCTGATCTGTACCTCAAGTCTCTGTTCCCCCATTTTGTAAGCTCATAGTTGATCTGTACCTCAAGTCCCTGTTCCGCCATTTTGTAAGCTCATAGCTGATCTGTACCTCAAGTCCCTGTTCCGCCATTTTATAAGCTCGTTGCTGATATATGCCTCAAGTCCAGCTAACCGACCTTGTCCCCATATCCCTTAATACCCTGACCTAACAACTATCTATCTATGGCCGTTCAGCCTGTGGAGCCCTCCACCAGTGTATTATCATTCAGAACTCTGCAGCTCGTGTACTATCCCGCACCAGGGTTCGGGAACACATCACTCCCACCCTCGCTCGCCTCCACTGGCTCCCCATCCCCCAGAGGATCGAATTCAAGATCCTCACCCTCACCTACAAGGCCATTCACGGCCTTGCTCCCTCCTACCTCTCCGACCTACTATCCCCCTACCTACCCGCCCGTACCCTCCGTTCCTCTGGCTCCGGTCTGCTCCACATCCCCCGCCCCAACCGCCCTACTATCGGTGGCCGGGCCTTCAGCCTCTCAGCCCCTAGGCTCTGGAAGTCTATCCCCCAGTGCTTTCGCCGCCTCCTCCCTTTCCTCCTTCAAGGCCGGTCTCAGGACCTTTCTCTTTGACCGTGCCTTCAGCTCCCCTCTCGACTTACTGCCCCCTCCTCGCTCCCTCCCTTCCCTCCCCTCCCCCTGACCATTTCCCCCTTGCTCGGGTCCTGACCCAACTGTACAGCGCCTTGGGATGTACTCCCGACGTGAAAGGCGCTCAATAAATAGAATCTTGTTGTTGTTGTTGTTGTATTAGATGACAGATATTTCAGTGCAATCACCCTATCTTTATTAATTATAATATTTATTCATCCTCCAAAAAAAATAAAATTGGTCACTTCAATCCACGACTGTTTGTGGGTCACTGCTGTGCGCAATTGGCTGCTGCGTTTCGCCCACAAATATACAGTCAATTCACTTTACAGCATATTCTGTGAAGCGCTTTGAGACGTCTAGAAGGTGTGAAAAGCGCTGTATCAAACGCAGGGATAATTATTATTATGATATCTTTCCCCATATCCCTGAATCTCCTGATTTCCAAGTCTGCATCCTTTCAAACCCATTTAGATATACACACACACACACACACACACACGAGGGAGAAGGGATGGAGTTCTCTTATCAAACAGCACCGCGGGATATCTTTAACATCTCTCTGGACAGGGCACAGAGGGGGAGTGAGTGAGGTTTAATGTCTCATCCGAAGGACAGCTCCTCCGACACTGCAGCGCTCCCCCGAGCTATATGGGTTCCAAGTCCCGAGGTGTGGGGGAACTTCAACCCACAACCTTCTGACTTGGAGGGTGAGAGTGTGATAGACTGAGCAGGACTTCGACACTCTGAACCGGGCCAGGCTGACAAACCCTCCGCCTGTCTCTCCAGATCGCTCGCCTGAAACACGAGCTCCAGCAGAGCCAGGCGGGGAGAGAGAGCGCTGCGCTGGACAAGGAGCTGCTGGAGCAGCGATTGCAGAAGGTGGAACAGCATGTGGACAGCAAGAGACGCACACAGGAGGGTGCGTCCCGCCAGGTCAAATTCCTGAAGGTCAGTGTCCTAACAGGTGATCATGGTGGTCTTGAGGACCGCATAATAATAATCCGTACGTTTGATACAGTGCCTCCTGACATCTTCGAGACGTGTCAAAGCGCTGTGAAGTGCAGTGACTGTGTTTTGAGGGCGAAATGCACTCAGCAATATTTTATCCCGTTGTCAGGCGGTGCCTGAGCCCCCGGTAACTGTCTCCTCATTGGCCAGTTCTGTTGTCAGGCGGTGCCTGAGCCCACAGCAACTGTCTGCTGATTGGCCAGTCCTGTTATCAGATGGTCCCTGAGCCCACGGTAATTGTCTTCTGATTGGCCAGTCCTGATATCAGTTGGTGCCTGAGCGCCTCCTCCCATGTCAGTCCCCTGATTGACCAGTCCTGTTGCCGGGCAGATTCTGATTCTCTGTCTCCTGATTGGCCAGTCCTGTTGTCTGTTGTTTACACAGCGCCCCTTACGCAGGGTAACGTCCCAGAGCGCTTGACGGTGGTGGAGCACGATCCCGAGCCGGGGGGAGGGGGAGGTGACCCAGGCCCGATCAAAGAGGAAGGTCTTCAGGCGCGCTCTGAAGATGGGGAAGGAGGGGGCAAGATCGAGTGATGGGGGGAGCGTGTAACAGACTTTCGGGGCGTGGTGCTTATGTTCTGTCACATGGGTGTCGGTGCGTGTTGCTGCCACGAGAGGGCGATGAAAGTACATTACCAGTTTTCAAACCAGAAACACAGAAACAGAAGTAGGTTATTCAGCCGCTCGAGCCTGTTCCGCCATTTTGTAAGCTCATAGCTGATCTGTACCTCAAGTCCCTGTTCCGCCATTTTGTAAGCTCATAGCTGATCTGTACCTCAAGTCCCTGTTCCCCCATTTTGTAAGCTCATAGCTGATCTATACCTCAAGTCCCTGTTCCGCCATTTTGTCAGCTCATAGTTGATCTGTACCTCAAGTCCCTGTTCCGCCATTTTGTAAGCTCATAGCTGATCTGTACCTCAAGTCTCTGTTCCCCCATTTTGTAAGCTCATAGTTGATCTGTACCTCAAGTCCCTGTTCCGCCATTTTGTAAGCTCATAGCTGATCTGTACTCAAGTCCCTGTTCCGCCATTTTATAAGCTCGTTGCTGATATATGCCTCAAGTCCAGCTAACCGACCTTGTCCCCATATCCCTTAATACCCTGACCTAACAACTATCTATCTATGGCCGTTCAGCCTGTGGAGCCCTCCACCAGTGTATTATCATTCAGAACTCTGCAGCTCGTGTACTATCCCGCACCAGGGTTCGGGAACACATCACTCCCACCCTCGCTCGCCTCCACTGGCTCCCCATCCCCCAGAGGATCGAATTCAAGATCCTCACCCTCACCTACAAGGCCATTCACGGCCTTGCTCCCTCCTACCTCTCCGACCTACTATCCCCCTACCTACCCGCCCGTACCCTCCGTTCCTCTGGCTCCGGTCTGCTCCACATCCCCCGCCCCAACCGCCCTACTATCGGTGGCCGGGCCTTCAGCCTCTCAGCCCCTAGGCTCTGGAAGTCTATCCCCCAGTGCTTTCGCCGCCTCCTCCCTTTCCTCCTTCAAGGCCGGTCTCAGGACCTTTCTCTTTGACCGTGCCTTCAGCTCCCCTCTCGACTTACTGCCCCCTCCTCGCTCCCTCCCTTCCCTCCCCTCCCCCTGACCATTTCCCCCTTGCTCGGGTCCTGACCCAACTGTACAGCGCCTTGGGATGTACTCCCGACGTGAAAGGCGCTCAATAAATAGAATCTTGTTGTTGTTGTTGTTGTATTAGATGACAGATATTTCAGTGCAATCACCCTATCTTTATTAATTATAATATTTATTCATCCTCCAAAAAAAATAAAATTGGTCACTTCAATCCACGACTGTTTGTGGGTCACTGCTGTGCGCAATTGGCTGCTGCGTTTCGCCCACACATATACAGTCAATTCACTTTACAGCATATTCTGTGAAGCGCTTTGAGACGTCTAGAAGATATGAAAAGCGCTGTATCAAATGCAAGGATTATTATTATTATGATATCTTTCCCCATATCCCTGAATCTCCTGATTTCCAAGTCTGCATCCTTTCAAACCCATTTAGATATACACACACACACACACACACACGAGGGAGAAGGGATGGAGTTCTCTTATCAAACAGCACCGCGGGATATCTTTAACATCTCTGTGGACAGGGCACAGAGGGGGAGTGAGTGAGGTTTAATGTCTCATGCGAAGGACGGCTCCTCCGACATTGCAGCGCTCCCCGAGCTATATGGGTTCCAAGTCCCGAGGTGTGGGGGAACTTCAACCCACAACCTTCTGACTTGGAGGGTGAGAGTGTGATAGACTGAGCAGGACTTCGACACTCTGAACCGGGCCAGGCTGACAAACCCTCCGCCTGTCTCTCCAGATCGCTCGCCTGAAACACGAGCTCCAGCAGAGCCAGGCGGGGGGAGAGAGCGCTGCGCTGGACAAGGAGCTGCTGGAGCAGCGATTGCAGAAGGTGGAACAGCATGTGGACAGCAAGAGACGCACACAGGAGGGTGCGTCCCGGCAGGTCAAATTCCTGAAGGTCAGTGTCCTAACAGGTGATCATGGTGGTCTTGAGGACCGCATAATAATAATCCGTACGTTTGATACAGTGCCTCCTGACATCTTCGAGACGTGTCAAAGCGCTGTGAAGTGCAGTGACTGTGTTTTGAGGGCGAAATGCACTCAGCAATATTTTATCCCGTTGTCAGGCGGTGCCTGAGCCCCCGGTAACTGTCTCCTCATTGGCCAGTTCTGTTGTCAGGCGGTGCCTGAGCCCACAGCAACTGTCTGCTGATTGGCCAGTCCTGTTATCAGATGGTCCCTGAGCCCACGGTAATTGTCTTCTGATTGGCCAGTCCTGATATCAGTTGGTGCCTGAGCGCCTCCTCCCATGTCAGTCCCCTGATTGACCAGTCCTGTTGCCGGGCAGATTCTGATTCTCTGTCTCCTGATTGGCCAGTCCTATTGTCCGTTGTTTACACAGCGCCCCTTACGCAGGGTAGCGTCCCAGAGCGCTTGACGGTGGTAGAGCACGATCCCGAGCCGGGGGGAGAGGGCGGGGGAGGTGACCCAGGCCCGATCAAAGAGGAAGGTCTTCAGGCGTGCTCTGAAGATGGGGAAGGAGGGGGCAAGATCGAGTGATGGGGGGAGCGTGTAACAGACTTTCGGGGCGTGGTGCTAATGTTCTGTCACATGGGTGTCGGTGCGTGTTGCGACCACGAGAGGGCGATGAAAGTACATTACCAGATTTCAAACCAGAAACACAGAAACAGAAGTAGGTTATTCAGCCGCTCGAGCCTGTTCCGCCATTTTGTAAGCTCATAGCTGATCTGTACCTCAAGTCCCTGTTCCGCCATTTTGTAAGCTCATAGCTGATCTATACCTCAAGTCCCTGTTCCGCCATTTTGTCAGCTCACAGCTGATCTATACCTCAAGTCCCTGTTCCGCCATTTTGTAAGCTCATAGCTGATCTATAGCTCAAGTCCCTGTTCCGCCATTTTGTAAGCTCATAGCTGATCTAATAATAATAATAATCCTTGCATTTGATATAGCGCTTTTCACGTCGGGAGGACATCCCAAAGCGCTTCACAGAACACACTGTAAAGTGTGCCCGGCAACAGGACTGGCCCATCAGGGGACGGGCACGGGAATGGGGGGTTGGTGGACGGGGCGGAGAGAGGGGCTCAGCACCAACTGATATCAGGACTGGCCAATCAGGAAACAGTTACTCGTACGGGGTGGGAGGCTCAGGTAATGAACTGACAACAGGACTGCCCAATCAGGAGACAGTTAGTGGGGGCTTAGGTACCAACTGACAACAGCATTGGCCAATCAGGAGACAGTTAGCAGCAGCTTAGGTACCAACTGATAACAGCATTGGCCAATCAGAGGACAGTTACCGGGGGCTCAGGCACCAACTGACAACAGGACCTGCCAACCAATGGACAGTTACCAGGGGCTCACACTGTGCCTGACGACAAACCTGGCTAATCAGGGGACAGCTGTGGCTCAGGCACTGACAACAGTACTCGCCGATCAGGAGACAGTTACCGGGGGCGCAAGCACCGCCTGACAACAGGACTGGCCAATCAGGATAAGATATTGCTGAGTGCATTTCACACACAAAACCCAGTCACTACACTTTATAATAATAATAATAATCCTTGCATTTGATATAGCGCTTTTCACGTCGGGAGGACGTCCCAAAGCGCTTCACAGAACACACTGTAAAGTGAATTGACTGTATATTTGTGGGCGAACGCGGCAGCCAATTGCGCACAGCAATGTCCCACAAACAGTCATAGATTGAAAATGACCAATTTAATTATTGTTTTTGGAGGGATTATTATTAGGCTCTGTGTGGAGTAAGGAAACTTGCCCAAGGTTTCGCCCTCTGCCTGGAATTGAACTCAGGTCTCTCACTTGCAAAGCGAGTGCTCTAACCACTGAGCTACAGGACTCCACGTACCTCAAGTCCCTGTTCCGCCATTTTGTAAGCTCATAGCTGATCTGTACCTCAAGTCCCGGTTCCGCCATTTTGTAAGCTCACAGCTGATCTATACCTCAAGTCCCTGTTCCGCCATTTTGTAAGCTCATAGCTGATGTATACCTCAAGTCCCTGTTCCGCCATTTTGTAAGCTCATGGCTGATCTGTACCTCAAGTCCCTGTTCCGCCATTTTGTCAGCTCATAGCTGATCTATACCTCAAGTCCCTGTTCCGCCATTTTTTAAGCTCATAGCTGATCTATACCTCAAGTCCCTGTTCCGCCATTTTGTAAGCTCATAGCTGATCTACATCTCAAGTCCCTGTTCCACCATTTTATAAGCTCATATACCTCAAGTCCCTGTTCCACTATTTTGTAAGCTCATATACCTCAAGTCCCTGTTCCGCTATTTTGTAAGCTCATATACCTCAAGTCCCTGTTCTGCCATTTTGTAAACTCGTGGCTGATGCTATGTCTCAAGTCCAGCTTACCGCCCTTGTCCCCAGATCCCTTAATACCCTAACCTAAGAAATATCTATCTATGGTCGTTCAGCCTGTGGAGCCCTCCACCAGTGTATTAGATGACAGATATTTGAGTCCAATCCCCCCATCTTTATTAATTATAATATTTATTAATGATAATCCTTCAAAAAAAATTGGTCACTTCAATCCACGACTGTTTGTGGGGACACTGCTGTGCGCAATTGGCTGCTGCGTTTCGCCCACACATATACAGTCAATTCACTTTACAGCATATTCTGTGAAACGCTTTGAGACGTCTAGAAGATGTGAAAAGCGCTGTATCAAACGCAGGGATAATTATTTTATGATATCTTTCCCCATATCCCTGAATCTCCTGATTTCCAAGTCTGCATCCTTTCAAACCCATTTAGATACACACACACACACACACGAGGGAGAAGGGAAAAGAAGGGTT